CAAAACTGGACTATTGGCTATTGCCAAAGTTCCAGTCTGGTATTTTGCGAAAATCCAACAAAAACACAACTTTCGGCAATTGCCGAAAGTCCACTGCGAAAGTCACTACTGCGAAATTCCTGTTTCCCATAAATTCAACCAATCTACCATTATCAACTACTGTTTCCATTAGAAACCTGTTGAATCCGAATGTACCACTTATTGGTTCACAAGGAATTTATATGTATGTTGGCGATTGTAGTCTAAGTCGCGTATTTAAATATCAATGATTTGTATCTTATTTCCGAGATAGGGATATATTTTCAAGGGGGAAACGGCAGACTCCAGGATTCCGGGACTCCATTGGACTACTCCATATGACTCCATTGGACTCCATTGGACTCCGCTGGACTCCATGGAGTCCCATGGAGTCCCATGGAGTCCAATGAAGTCCCGGAATCCTGGAGTCTGCCGTTTCCCCCTTGTATATTTTTACGTATACAATATCAAGGACCAGGGAATACGACACTGGTGTACAGTTTTGCAAGTATTAGCATCGTTTATTACAATAATGCGTTTATCTTGTATTTTAAAAGAAGCTGCTCTTATTGCACTGAAAGAAAATAAATAATTATTTCCAAACATCGGATTGAAATATTTTCTTCAAAAATTTACTGGAATTTACTTCTGCTTCCTCTTCTTTTTTCAGTTCTATATTAAAAGTTAAAAAAAAAAATATCACATTATTAATGTAATGTTAAAAGAGCGTAAGCCATTCAGGGAAAACTAATTTCATTTATACGTTGTCAATCAATGCAAAAGTCAATATATAACATAGTGGACCTGAAAATGGAGATTAGCAGGCTGTCGTGAAATTTGCTACACCGTTATTAAAAAACGTAATTATGTACGAATGTCAAAGAAATTTCATTCCGAAGCTGAAAACATCAAAATATGAATTTAATGTTAAGGTCCCTGAAACCCGTTGTGTTCGTCTAGAATGAATTTTTCAATATGCACATCGACACGTAGTCTGCAGTGTTCTCTATTCAAATCTATATCATTCATCACCAAAAAAACATGTTTTTGTGTTTTGCTGGTTTGCGTGGGTTTTGCAGACAACCTTAAAAATCATGTCTTTTTCTCGATAATCTTTTTCTAGTACATTTGAGACTTCAGCATAGAGCAATTATTTCTCTTTCAAATGAGAAGTCCCACAGCTTTGTACCCATCGGGATTTTTTCGACAGACTTACTTGGATGTGTCGTGGCGTAGCGACCTATCGCGATAAAATATCACGTCGTGATGTAACATGTCCATTGTTTCATTGCGATGCGTGCCCTTATCGTGCTATGTATTAAACTTATCGTAATTACGTACGGGGGCCGATATCAGAGGACTTGTTACATATGAACACACAGTATTATGTCGAAAAGCTTAAAACATCATGAAACGGTATTTTATCGCAATAGATCGTCACGCCATGGCATATTTCTAACAATTTCTTTTGCAGTAAAATGTTCAATTCCGATACGGTACAAATAAAAATAAGCCTAAACTAGAAGGTAGACAGACTATAGACAATAGAGGGCTGGAAATTTCTAATGGTAGAAATAACAGGGAAATTGAACATGTTTACCGCTGCTTATCCTCTTGACCAACAATGTATAAAATTGAGGTGGAAACAACCCTTTCTTTGAGGGGTGTTAGCATGTGGAAAAAATGTGTAAAGTAGTGATATCTGAGAAGAGGTAGGCGTCTCGAACAATTATCAATGCATTATTATTTTCTGAGGAGAGGCGTTAACGGCAGGTTTTGCATTCTTTCATCTATCTAAGCTGTTTTATACTTCTTCTCACATGTCATGCCTTTTCTTGCTTTCTATCTTTCCTACTACTCATCCCTCTTGGGTGGAATATGATCTTACATCCGATTTGGCTGAAACTCACAAAAGGGTGGGATTTGGTGAATCTCAATTTTCAGGTCGGCTATTTTATATATTGATTGTTCTATACGTTTTACACAGTAACTGGTTGATATTTTCGTTTTTCTTCCCAGTCAATGTATATTTGTCATTTATACTCAACAAGCGCTTTTGAAAAACATGTGCAGTCTTTTTTCGCAGAAAATCTGTTTTCAATATCCTGATATTCTTTCTCTGTGAGAAAAAAGTATCAACATTTATACTACAGCTACACATTGCATTTTATCTTACCTATTCTGTCGTCGTTCACCTTTGAGAAAATTATCTTTATATAACCGATGTGCAACGTATAAAAGAAATTAATTTCTCTTGAATGGTTCACGCTGTTCTTTAACATTATGTTTACAATATGATATTTTTTGTTTTTAATTCATTTAATATAGAATTGTAAAACAGAGAAAGTTGTAACAAATTTTAGTAAATTTTATGAAAATATTTATGTAATTGTATATCTCTGTTAAGATAAACTACTTTTCATAAGAAGCAACGATGAAAGTGTTAATTGCCTATCCATTTCCAAGTGTTTCAAACAATTTCGGAGATAAGCTTTGGAAATATATACCAAATTTAGATGAAGATGGCTTACAGGCTGAAATAGCGACATATAAACCAGACTCAGTTATTGTTGGTAACAATGTTGTTAATGCAGAAACACTTCAAAAATGGCGAACTGCAATGGGATCATTGGCAACACTGAGTATTATTCGTCGTAGTTCAAGTAAGTCTGATATCGACATAAAAAAGGCTGATAGTCTAAATATTAATCATTATCGAACACTAAGTGTTAATGCACCGTTTGTTGCGCAGTACATAATTGAGAAATTATATTTTGAAGCGATAATAGAGAATGCAGTACATTATCGGCTGTTATTGGATGTGGTGCAACTGGACGACGTGTTATTGAACGATTAATTCGTGAAGGACATACGGTTAAGGTTTATAGTCCATCGTTAGCTAATTGTTCGTGTGAAGAAGAACAAGAAAATGTTGCCAAATCGAAAGGACTAGCGCATCATGAACGAATATATTTTGCTAGTTCGCTCGAAGAAGCAGTTAAAAATGTTAATTATATTGCTATTGCTATTGATGCTACACAGGTGGTGGCTACTGGTACATATCTAACAAACGAGTTTGTATTAAGTATGAGTCATGGCACACGAATTGTAAGCGTATCAAAATTTCATGTGTTTACTGACGAAGCAATGTCATGTTTTCTGTCGTTCAAAACAAGGTGAACTATCAATATTATTTGATAGTCATTACCGTGACGTCAAACATTTACTTGATCGAATTCCACCTGATAATAAAACTTTCGAAGTACGTTCAAATGCAATGTACAATTTTGGATGCCAACAAGCCATAGACCAAGCTGCTCTCATCGTTTTAGCGTCTATTATTGTTGAACAGACCATAGATACAAGGATTAATTTTCGACAAGTACCTGGACCACAGGAACATATAATTATTGTTGGACTTGTGTCAGCATTATTACTGAGCCAAAGAGGATATCGAGTAACTATTGTAGATTCCCATGAAAAGCCATTAGTAGGACGATTAATCAGTGATAATTTTAGACATGCCACTACCACTGAAAGCATCACACATCATATCCAATTGTGTCATTCACCTCAGGTTCACTTAGGCACTGAACCAGGGATCCCAGATCGTCTGATTTTAGCAGAAAAAGTCTTATTTTGAGACTTTTTTCTGCCTCGTTTCTTATTTTCTTATTTTTGGAATTTTGTCTTATTTTAGAATCTTTGTTTGATATTGAACGAAAATTTGATTTATAATTTTTTTTCTAAAATTATAAAAAAACAACTAACCATTTGGGTATGAGAACAAACAACGTTCTGATTTTTTTTCTGATTTCCAACTTGTTTTTCTGATTTTTGTCTGATTTTGAATTTTTTTTTTCTTATTTCCGTCTTTTAGATCTGAGATCCCTGCACTGAACTCAAAATGAGCACACAGCAATTTTATTTCTGCTACTTTATAGTATAAAGTTTATACACTCTCAATTGCTATGTACTACTCTGAAGTTATTGTTCAACTTATTCAAGTTTTCATATCACTTTTATATATGATGCGCGTGTTCACTGAAAAAGAAAAATGCATTTTTCTCTTTCATATCACATGTCGTTTGTATATATATAGGTCATATAGACCTGTATGACCTAAGTCTATGTGACCTAAAAACTCTATTTAGGCTATACAACAAATATAAAAGTATCAACGAAATATAGACTTCGTGCAAAAAGACATCCACGTGTTTCTTCCTTCCTTTTCTCTATTTAGGATGTATTTGCGTGTACATAGAGTCAGTGTTCATACAACTGATATAAGTTTTATTCTTTCAGAATGCAATGGGAAACATTTCCCTTATAGCATTCGAAACTAAACGTATCGAAAAATGCACAAGCCATTTTTGAAAAACTCAGCCAGATTAAGTTTCTTTTTAAACTAAAGACAGAGCGCTTTTGTATGTATCAAATCGTCAGCGTTAGTGCGATTTCTGTAAAATTCTCACAATTTACAGAGAAGTGGAAGTTTCCTTTTACATTCTTATCAAGATCTTGACTTGAAGAAATACAAGAAATTTTATTTTCTGTTTAAATAAATCTTGTTTCTTGTGCAATATTCCAGCTTAAGTCGAAGAAGAGAAAAATGCAGAAATATTTGGGATAAGAAAGCTTTCTCCGAAGAACTTTTCTAGAGGCAGTGGGACGCTAATTTCACCATGTTTTACCCGGCTTTCTCTTCGAGAACACGATGCAATTCATCTCAGAGTTTGAGCTCAAATTAAGTACACAGCAATTTTATTCACATCTCTTAATCTCTTAACTTTCTCTTTCAGTTGCTGTGTACTTACTTACTCTGAAGTTATCATTCAACTTATTCAATTTTTCGTATTACTTTTATAGATCTATACGTGTGTTATTCTGTATCTTTTCTCTTGTCACATTAGGCCTCTAGCATTCAGATAGAGATATACATATATCTCAGATATATCTCTATTGACATTTGCTTCACATCTGTCACGTTTTCTTTCCTGTTCCGCTGCCATTTTGTCAATGAAAGAACAAAATGGGAGCCTATACCTGTTCTCTTTCCTCTTTTTCTTCTACACAGAAAGAAAACGTGACAAATGTGAAGCAACTGTCAACAGAGATATATCTGAGATATATGTATATTAGTAAGGGGACAAACGGCATGGACTACGTCAAAAAGTGATTTTTGGCCACTGGAATTGATTGGATGAAAAGTTCACAGAAATTCACTTTCGAGCTTTTAGCCATAAATCGAAAAGGTCACCTGGATTCTTCCAGTCAATTCTGAGAAAACTCATATAGAGGGCGCTGTTT